AAAAAAAAAACATGCAGCCATCATAGTTTATTACAACCCAAACTAAAATCACATAGTAGCAGATATTAACACATCACACCAGCAACTAAAATATGAGGTTCTAATCACATTAGACCTCCCTACATCCCTCCATAACACTCAAAAGAAAAACAAGCTAGCAAACTACAATCCAGCTTCATACTTGTCAATGGCATCATCAGTCGAGTCACCCCCTGAGTCTGAGTCTGCATCCTTTCAAGCAGCACGACCCTTCTCCCCCTTCTTCGAACTACGGGATGCCGAAGGACCCGTCCCCGAGTTCTTGCGCTTGGTTCCCTTCACAGTCTGCAACACTTGTCGAAGATAGGCTTGCTGAGCTGCAACTTTCTTAGCCATGTCGTCCCACTCCCCTAGTTGTTGAGCCACAAAACTCATCCCAATTCTTATCGAGTCTTGTGCTTTTCTCCAGAGTGGCGGCCCTGGGCCTCCAGGCCAGCACCCGGACCAAATGTGCTTCTCGAGCCTTCAAGATCCTTTTTTCAGCCCGACGTCCAACGAGACCGGCGCCTCGGGTTTTCGGTGTCGGGTGCCGATCTCATAAACTGCTCCTGTGATGGCGCTGGTTATTTTTTCTCCGGTGTCCAGCTCAGCGCCTCCGTGTCGGACCGGGTTCCTGGCCCGATTCTGAGGGGTCGATTCTGTCTGGTTCCCTCTTGGCTAACTCAGATATCAACAACTATGTTTAAATCAAACTAACTTAATAAATAATTTAAATACTAATAAAAATTTCTGAAATGCAGTCAATTTAACTAAAAAAAGCACATTCTCATTGAATATATCATATGCAGTGATAATACTATTAAAAATTTAAATAATATACTAATAAAAATAAATTTTGATGGTCGGGTGCAATTCAAGATTATAAATTTCACCTTAGAAGTATCTATGTAAATTAAAAACTATTCAATTTTCTAAAAAAAAAAATATATACTATTTTATAAATGAAAAAATGAGTTAATAAAATAGCAATGTAATAAATTATAGTACTTGGTAATTATACAAATATATAATATATATATATATATAAATATTCAAATAGATACAATGTAAATCATTATATAAGTTGAAAAAATTAATTAAAGAAATAAATATAAATAAAAAATAAAAACATAAAAATAAAATATTTAACAATTAAAAAATAGTGTATTGCATAAGGATTAAAGCTACAAAAATTAAAATTGTATCTATCAAAGTTTTTAACATTTAATGCACTTAATAATTATGGCGGAAGATAAATATTATGTGTTAAACGTTGGTCAACTATCACGCAATATGCAAATTAAGAATTGTTGAAAATATTATAGGACTATGATAAACGAAAATTTGATAAGGACATACAAGTAATTTGTATGCAAGCAGCAAGTATCATATAATCTTATATATTTATAATATTTTATAAACTTATAAATAATAAAATTTATATATTAAATAGTCAATATATATATATATAGAAAGTAGTAAATAAATAAATGTCATATATATAATATTGTGGAGAATATAATTTCATATTGTCTTAAATAATTTTATAATTAAAAAATATTTTTTGTAATGTAACCCGTGCATCACACGGGTATCAACACTAGTCCTTATAAATCTCAAGTTTAAAATTGGGATTTGAAGGTGTGATGTGAATTTTAGCAAACCTTAAAAAAATATAATAAGTTTTCATCTTAAAGAAAGTAATACCTCATTACTTTTTAACTGTTTTTAAAATTTCAACAGAATACTTCAGTTTTTTCTAAAATTATAAACAAGTCTAATTTAAATGCGTGATGATTTCTATAGTGTTACTAAATACCGTCCCTTTTTTACTACCTACTGCTCCCCAATTAAACAGTTTTGCCCCTAACATTTTTCCACAAAGTGAAAAAAAACAATGGCGCGGGCAACCAGCGAAACCGGCCGCAATTGTCGGTTGGCCGCACCGGTCACGATCGCATCGTCATTGTAAATTGTCAAATTTTTTCTCGTCATCACATCAACTCCCTACAAATTTAAAATAATTAACTTCATATACTTTAATCTTATAAATTTCTAATATTAGTTAATTATTAACTAAAATATAAGAAAGTATAATTTCTAAATTATACATACATATATATATATATATATATATATA